TTGACTTGTCGGAAAGCAAAGGTGGAACACTAAAGGTCGGGAGGAATGCTATAGCAAATGGAAATACCCGAATGGAAGTGGGATAGCATTACCATGGATTTTGTTACCCATTTACCACGGACAATTCGAGGGTACGATTCGATCTGGGTGATAGTGGACAGATTGACGAAGAGTGCACATTTCCTCCCCGTAAATCCGAGGATATCTATGGCTAAACCGGCACAACTATATATTCGCGAGATTGTTCGATTACATGGGGTACCATCTAGCATTATCTCGGATAGGGATCCTAGATTTACTTCAAGATTCTCGCGAGACTTTACAAGAGGCATTAGGTACCCGACTTAGGTTGAGTTCGACCTTATCACCCCAGTGCATGATGGACAGTCAGAGAGGACCATCCAGATCACTAGAAGACTTGTTAAGGTCTTGTGTGTTGGATAATCTAGGAAGTTGGGATGAGATCCTTCCATTAATAGAGTTCATGTATAATAACAGCCTATCATGCCGAGATCGGAATGGCACCATATGAGGCTCTTTATGGGAGGAGGTGTCAAACACCTTTATGTTGGTATCGGGATGAGGAGAAAGTGTTGATTGGACTCGAGCTACTCCAGCAGACTACGGAGAAGGTCCGGGAGGTACAAGAGAAGTCGAGAGCCGCTATGAGTAAACAAAAATCATATGCGGACCGGAGGAGGAGACCTTTGGAATTTGAGGGGGAGACCATGTATTTTTGAGAATCGGACCTACTATCGGAGTAGGAAGGGCAATTAAATCTAAGAAGTTAACTACCAAGTTTATTGGCCCATATCGATTTTGAAGAAGGTAGGTCCAAGTGGCATATCGCCTAGCATTGCCACCTCATTTGGCGAATCCGCACAATGTATTTCATGTATCTCGATTGAGGAAATATGTAGATGACCCCGGCCATGTCCCGGAGTCGAACAATGTGCAGATTAGAGACGATCTCTCCGTTGATGTGAGACCAGTAAGGATAGAGGATTCTCACTGAAGCAACTTAGAGGTAGAACTATCTCAATGGTAAAGGTAGTATGGGATCGAAATCCGGAGACTTCACTTGGGAGATGGAGGATCGGATGCGAGAGTCTTATCCATATCTATTTCCAAGTAAGTTTATTTTCGAGGACGAAAATTTTTGTGGAGGGGAGATTGTGACGTATGCCTTATTTTAATATTATATTAATATTATTGTGCAAGAAAACTTCGTAATGAAGTTTTCCTCATGCACAAGTAAAAATTTTCTTATATATGAATATCGAAGCGGGGAGGAGGGAAATCAAAATTTTTCCTCTCATCCTTCTTCTTCTATTGTCTAAATTTCAAGCAACGAGACTCTACTCGTGCGGGATCCGGTGAAACGGGAGAGAACTTGAATTAAGTTGGAAAGCTTCGGTAGAAATACCATACCAAGTAAGGGGAAGTTTAATTCATTCAATATATGAAATTGAATTGTTGGGTACTCTGTGAATAAGGAATAGGAGTAGAGATATGAAGTATTGGAATGTTTAATTTTGAAGAATGTCTAATTTTGAAGAATGTCTAATTTTGAAGAATTTCTGATTTTGATGAACAGTTCATCGTTTGAAAGTTTTTTTTTAATTATTGAAATTAAGGATGAATTATATACTAAAATTGTTGTTTTTAACTTAAATTGAACATGTTTATGGTTAAATTTTGATTTGGAACTAATTTGGGTGATTGAAACTGAGAAATTTGAAATCTGGATTTCGAAAATGGCGAACTGGAAAATCTGCAAAAGTCGCTCAAGCGAAAAATACATCGCTTGAGCGAGGACACCTGGAAAATTTGGGACTCTCGGGTCATGTCTCGCTCAAGCGACCGGTGTACTCGCTTGAGCGACGAAGCCTTCAAACAAAGGGGACTCTCGGGCTCAGTATCGCTCAAGCGGCCGGTGTACTCGCTTGAGCGAGCGAAGGAAGAAGAAAGGGATATAGTGGAGATTTTTTAAAAAGATCAAGGGTAAACTAGTCATTTTACATCACAGGGACATAAATGGAATTTTCAAAAATGTCCAAGGGTAAAATAGTCATTTAGGGACATACATGGAATTTTAAGAAAAGATTAAGGGCAAAATAGTAATTTAATGATTTCGAAAATGATTTCGAAAATAGTTTCGGAAATAGTTTCGGAAATGATTTTAGGAAAAAAAAAAATATATATATATATATAAAGAGAGAGAGAATGAAAGTAGAGTGTTGTGACGTGTGTGGGTCGGACTAAGCCTGAGGGTCGATGCCCGAATCGGTCCTAAGACGTTATATATTGGCTAGACCGAGCCGTAAGGTTGGTGCCGGAATCGGTCAAATACTATTTTTATTGACTCGAATGAGCCGTGAGGACAGGTGGTCCAGTAATCCGACGAGATGTGAATAAATTTTGTATGTTTGAATGGTACCCGGGTAGTACAGAGTACATTAGTGTAATAACTATGTCGGAGGATTCCGAATGAGGTCCCGGACTTCACCGATTGGTCGAGTCGGGTAGACTACGAGATCGGGTGGTGAGAAGTCGATGCGGGGATGACTGGTGGCGCGCTCGGAGGGGTACTCCAGTATGAGTGATGAAGGGCGCCAGTAATCCTACTCTGTGTGGAGGGTGGTCAGAATGGTACTGCGGGTACCGATCACAATGTGCCCACAGATGATAGCCTCTGAGTTCGGGCATAGTTAGGGTATACTTCCGGAAGGTATCTTAGTATGTTGATAATTTCGTAATTGATCATAATATATAATTATTACTTCTATATCTGTTTTATTATATCGAATGATTTAATACTTACCCCTATTTTTCCATGTGGATGGGACTCGCGATGATCACTTTTATGTGGGAGCGGATCGGGAGTTGAGAGATGGTGATGTGACTACTTGGACGACAGAGATAGTTCGATGGGATAACTTCGAGGAGCTACTTTTACATGTATAATATATAAATAAATTATGTTACTATATTTTGAAGTTACGTTAGTGAACTGGAATTTCAATATATGTTACAATTACAGTAATATAATGTAAAATAGATGTTGTTATTTACTTGTTTACTACTTTGCGAAGACATCATTATAGTAACGATTTCTAGGGTCGTTACATGTAGAATCTCTTAATCTAATTCAAAATTCAGTATTTTGGAAGTTGCCTGGTATATGTTCGTGATGTGAATTGATATGATATAATAAATCTGAAATGAATTTTTGTAGTGGTAAATATATGTAGAAATTAATGAAATTGTAAATTTAGAACAAATTTAAATTTAACATATTTATTTTAAAATACTGATTTATTATGTGTGTTTTGTAGATTGTGTTTTCTTATTGTGATGATCGTTTGTTTTGTACGAGAACAGATTATGCACGTATTAAATCTTATGAGTAGTAGGATGGGAGATAATAGGATTTTAGAGGTTATTAGTTCTATATTTTATGATATTTTAAATGTATGTATAAAATATCAAATAAGAAAATAGTTTATATTTTGAAAATACCTTATATATGTAAATTATATAAAAAATTATGATATATGTTTGGAGATGTTACCATTGAAACATCGATCAAGACCAGTAAATAATAAATTACTGAAGATAAAATATGATTAGTAAATTATGCAAAATTTAAAAATGATTTATTTATTAATTTTAATCTATATCCATTATTTAATTAATATTAATAGTTATTAGTTATTTAGTTAATAAATTTAAATCTATTATCTATTTATTGAATAAATGTTTATGTATTAGTTATTAACATTAAAAATATTATTATATTACTTATTTAACGAATAAATATCAATTGAATTTGAATGCATAAATATTAACTTATTAATTATTTAATAAATATCTTTAGTTATTCAATGAATCAATATTAATGTATTAATTACTTAATTAATATATATTAACCTGTTAATTATCGAAGCAATAAATAATAATATATTAATTATTAGTCTAATAATTATTTAATTAATTGAATTTAATGAAGTAGTTATTTATATTCTAGTTGTTTGAAAATATGTTTGTTTCTAAATTATATCCTGTATTTTAATTATATTTATTAGAGAAAACAAATAATAAATTATTAAGAGTATTTTAGTTTAAGAAAAATATTAAAATGATAAAAATATTAATAAAAAAACTAACAAATTTATTAAAAATAATAAAAAATAATATTTATCTTATTGTTATAATTTGAAACAGGAAGTTTAATTTTATTAAAAATAATAAACCGTTGTGATTTTAAATTTAAGACAACATTGAATAGTATTAATCAACTATTAATCTTGGGACTCAAATAATATATTATTAATAAATAATAAATAAATATAAAAGGAAGATAGAAGATGAAATGGTGAAAAGATAAAATTGTAGATATATAGTTAAATACATTAAATGATCATTAAGTTTGAGGGGAATAAAATCATAAATTACATGAAAGTTACAAAACTAAGAAGAAGTTGAGGGGATAAAATTGTAAATATACACTTAAATATATTAAATGTTCATTAAGTTTGGGATACCAAAATCATAAACTAAATCGAAGTTAAAAAACTTTGGGTGGGTTAGAACCCTCTGTTCCTAAGAAGATCAGCTACTGATATTAACTCATACTTGATACTTGATAAAAATTAAAGAATAGAATAGAAAGTCAAATTCAACGTAAAACTTTCCTATAATTGAGGCAAATGCGTATTTATGACATTTATTGAATTAATTCATATTATGTTAGTTAGGGAGAAATATGAGTGGAGTGAGCTTCATGTGTTGTAATAATATTTTAGATCAATTTATTTGTGATAGATTTTATTTTTAAAATAATCTGAATAAATCATTAAAGAGAATATATATAAATTATCTTTAATCTTCAATAAAATTTATTAAAAGAGAAAAACAGTGGTTTAACACATTTAAATAGGGTGGTTAATTCATCATATAAGAGAACAAACATTTAGAGAAAACAAGATAATTGAAGAATGGCTTCGAAGGTCATGTTGGCAATCATATGCATTGCTTTCGTTTTTGCTCCAGGTAACAAAAATATAAGATTATTTTATATGTATATTAGTAAAAATATAAGTGACAAGACTATATGTATAATTATTATTATTTTTAAATTGTATATTTTTTAAATGTATTTACTTTTTTTGTTTATTGCAGGGGAAGCAACAAGAAGTGATGGAGATCCTACGTTGTATTGCATCCCTGGAGATCATGGGTGTCCAGATGTGAATGCTTGTTACGATTATTGCATGACTTTTCCCTTCCGTGGGGGTGCGGTGTGTAGGCCCAACAACTTGTGTTGTTGCAAAGCATAGCACCATCTTCTCTCTTTAATAATTAAATTATGCATAATTTCCTATGTTTTATAACATGCCTTCTATGAATTTAGTATAATTTTATATATTTTTAAGAAAAAAAATTAACCGCACTAACTTTTTAACATTTTACAAATATAATTTTATCTTCACTACAACAGTACACATGTCGGATGGAATAATTTTGTCAAGTTAGAAATTATTTCTTTATATAAATATTTTGTAAAATAAAGTATAGTGTACTATAATTTGTATCAATTATCGGATTTAATGGGTAGTTTAATGGCTTCGTATAATCTTAAAGTATGACTTTATTTATTTTAATTATTAATTTAATTATATTTTAAGAAATATTTATTTTTTATTACATTTTTATGAAAGTTATAAAGGTTTATATATATATATATATATATATATATATATATAATTTATAATCTTATATTGTTTTTATACTAAAAATAAATATTAAAGTTAACAAGTTTTTTTTAAATTGATTGATTTATCAATGATATTTATTTTTTTATAATTTGACAATTTTATCTATTTAAGTTGATATTTTTATTTATATCAAATAATATCATCTCACAATTATATATAATTTCTTTTTAATTTTATCATTTGATTTTGTAATAATTTCTCAATATTACACAAAAAATTAATTACTCTTTAATAATATTTATTTATTTAAATTTTCATTGTCTAATCTCAACTTACAATATATTATTCTTTATTTTTTTAAATAATGAAATAATATATAAATAAATTTAAATAAATATCAAGTAATTAGATTTAGGTTCCTTATTTCATTAACTATAAATGATACAATTTTACCGTTTTGTTTTTCTCATTCCTTTTTCTCTCCTTTTTCCAATAAATCTATTTAGGTTCCTTATTATATAGTACCTTATTTTCTTTTCTTACCGTTAATTATCAACTATAAGTAATTTAAAAAAATAAATTTATTAATTTTTATTATATATATATATGAACACAACAATTAGAACCAATACATTTTGATGTATGTGATGATCGGATAAAGCATAAAGCATATATCAATTAATAAAATAAGTTGTAAAATAAATGACAATATGTTATTGTACATAATTCCTCAATCCAAGCCAAAAGGATTGTCATATATAGAAAACATAATATGCTTGCGGACTCAAATGCCTAATTCAGCACAATAGTTATCTGAAAGTGTGTTCATGTAGTTGAGCAACTATATCCTTCTTTTTCCATGATAGAATAAGTTTTGGATTTACTGAACCATCTTAAATTAGCTTTTTCTTTCTAGGATCTTAGCCACCACATCAAGATCTGCAAAAGAAACTTTTATACCATGTATTCATGGCTTCTTTTGTGCTTCTGTCGAAGTTGATGGTAAATTTATTCATGAAAAACTTACTCATTTTAAAACAATGTCAAATGGAAACATTTAATTAATAACAAACAGGAAATTGTAATAGATAGAGTAAAAATCTAATTGATAATAATATGAAAGCTTAACATATAAAATTAATAAATGCACAAAGTTGAAGACGATAATATTAGTTTATAACAATAAACAAAAACAAGGTACACTTACATCTTGTAATCCTTAAGCCATGAAGGATAGTTACATAAGCAAAAGTTCACATCACATGATCCCTGAAGGTAGTGGCAGATTTAAATTAAAAAAAATACAAGATTTTCAAACTTTCCACTCTATAAAGTGATGTCTTCCTCCGCAACTTGTATATCTCTTAAAATTTTAGTGAAAGAGTCCTCCTCTTCTCCTTCGAAATTTGAAAAATCCATTTGGGACCAGTAATCCAAATCTTCTTTTAAAAATTCAAGGTCTGTCAAACTGTCTAATGTGCTCTCAGAAGTAGGAATCTCATTTAAAAATGCCTTGTCGAAACTTTCTAGTAGAGAAGTATTATCTTCCGATGTCCTCTTACGTTTCTTTTTCATATCCCTTTTAGATGACTTGTTTGAATCTTGCCTCTTACTTGTTCGATCACCATCTGTCTCACTGGGAGAAATGTCACGGTTGTTTTCTTTATAAAATATTTGCTTTACAGGGTCAACCATAACCCTCTTGGTTGAAGTTACATTATAAGAAGGAAAAAATACCTCCTCATTACATGTTGCAATAGGGAAAATCTCATGAGGAGGTGATACATGTGTATTGCTAGGAAAGGAATGAATTATGGGGTGTGTTCTTGAAACTGAATTAGTTGAATTTTGTGATACATTGAGTCCATTGTTCCCAACTAATGGCTGAGTTGATATAGAAATTGATCCGAAATCTACTTTGTTGTTAGGAGAAAGTGGTGGCTTGGTGCTCAGACCTAAAAATGGGGTAAAGTAAATATATAATTGATGACATAATAAAAACTTACTTAAATAGAAACATAAAAATTTATACCTTTGATTTGATTTTTCTCCCCGGGTGGTCTACCACGAGGTTTCTTTGTTACAATCGACCCATCTATGACTTCGGTCTCTTTTCTCTTCTTGTTAGACACTTTCACGACAGGTGATGAGAACTTTACAGTGTTTGTGGGTTCAGGTGGCCATGGCATATTCTGGGATGAGAAGTTTACTGTGTTTGTGGGTCCAGATGGCGATGGTACATTCTGTGCAGAGAAAACAATACCAGTATACTTGCCTAACAAATAAGGGGAAAATAGGTAAAATATAAGAAAAAATTAACATTACTCAATTGACGTATAAACATATAAGAAAAAAATTAACAATAGCAAATATGTTAATTCATTAAGCAATACCTGGAACAGTTGGATTACAAGTTTCCATCTGAGAAGCTACCGTTGAATTTTTTATCATAGCTGCCACCGCATTCATTGGTGGTTGTCTCACAGTGTACGCGTGGACTGCTGTTTTCTGCATGTTTTGCCAAATCATTTGCATTCTATTTTTCTCTTGTATCACCATCATCTTTTCTTGATCAAGCAAGGCCTTCTGCTTCTTCAACAATATATATTCATCAAAAATCTCCTCCAAATTCAACACATCCTAAGACACCAAGAAAGCAAAAATGCACCTGATGAGTGCGAGGAGAGAATGAATATTCATTTATTAAAATTTGAAAAAGAAAAGAAAATAATATGAAAGATTGGAAATAAGTGAGACCAGCGGTGGATAAATTATTTTAGGATAATAAATGAATAAAAAAGAAAAATACTTAAAAAAATAAATATACAAACCCGAATATTTAATTTGGATTGACTAAAATTATAAATATACATAAATTATAAATTTTATAAAACTTTGGAGAGATCATGACTCTCTTAACTCTAGGAGTGTCAAAATAGATTTAGTCCGATGGATCAGCCGAAAGACTGGAAAAATAGGCTAGACTATGCCAAAAAAACTTAGGGCCTAAATAAAACTAGACAAATTTGGGTCCAACCTATTTAGGCCAAGTTAGCTCATAGGCTTTTGGGCTGACTCGTTTTATGAAATAATAATTATTTTACCAATAATATTATTTTATAAAAATAATATTATTTTATTAGAAAATATATAGATAACAAACTCTAAACATAATATTCATTTGTTGGTCATCTCCTCCCTCTTTGTTGTTGTTGCAGTCACATTTGCTTTTAATGACTAATAATTTAAGATGACATATTTTAATGTAATGTATTATGTTGGATAATAAGACTAGTTTGTTGAAGTAATGAAAATTTAACTCTAAAATTTACCAAGATGCACTTGTTATATGCATTATTAAGCATTATCTTCAATTTAACTATGTTGAGTATGAGAGAGTTTGGGAGGTAAATAAAGTTTTGAATCCTAATCTTAAACCAATTACTAGAAACACCTCAATTACAGTTTTTTATAACATCTATTTAACAAAAAAAAACAAAAAGTTAAAAGATGTGTTATCTAATATTTTTGGAAGTGTATGTTTGACTTCTAATGTATTATAACAACTCATTTTTATGATTTTATACATTTGATTTTATTTTGCTTGGGTAGATTATGAGTTAATTTTAAATAAACAAATGAATGACATATTTTTGTTTCAAAGAAAATAAATAAATTATATAAAAAAATGTTAATTAAGAAAAAAATGATTCGTTAGCCATTGACCGAGTGACGAATCTTGACCATTGATTTTTGGGGTAAATAATATATTATTAAAAAATAATAAATAAATATAAAAGGATGAAAGATGATGAAAGGCTGAGAGAATAAAATTTAAAATATATAAGTAAATATATAAAATGATCATTAAGTTTGGGGGACAAAATCATAAATTATATAAGAGTTACAAAACAATATACAAGTAAATATATTAAAGTTTGGGGGCCAAAATCATAAATTACATGAGAGTTACAAAACTTTGGGAGTCACGACCCCTCACTTCCCAAAAAGATCCTTCACTACCATTGACAACCCTATTCAACTACAAAATAAGTTTGAGACTGAGCGAGACTAACCTCTTTTTTTGGCAAACCACCAAAGAGTGACGAAGCTTCACTATGAAAAGTGATGCATGTTTGGAAGAGTTGGTTGCGATGCAGATATTGATCAACGATGAAAGGAAGTATAGTTTTGAAGTTACCCATTCTCCAAGTCTTGAAATAAGATTTTACAAAAGAAAGATGAAACCAACAAATATGAACCAAATAAATAGTGAAAGTTAAATAACTCATGTAGATTTAAAAAGGAAAAATAAAGTCCAAGATATAAAAATTTCAAATTTAGTTTGATTTTTTTCTCTAATTTTTTTAATTTTCATTTTCATTTTAATAATATTAATATTATATATTTATATTCTTTAATTATAATTTTGATTCTGGATTTTGTAAATACGTCATTTGAATGACTTAAGGTAATTTGTGATTTTTGAATACACCTTTATTTATTTATTTTTTTTCAAAAATTAGTCTTATTTATTGTTATTAAAAATACAGAAATAAGAATCGATCAATGTATATAAACTTAATTAATACTTCGGGTATTAACGCCATTATATTTTCAAT